ATGTCTTTGTTAAAACCCGTTTTGTCTAGTTAAAACTAGAATTTACTGCTAGTCAAAAATGAATTTGAGTTAAAACTAGTTTTAACTAGACAAAACGGGTTTTAACAAAGACATTCAGTATAAACTAGTTTCAACTAGACAAAATGTGTTCTAACTAAAAACGGCTTTTAACTGTAACATATATATATACAAATCATACGGTTTAAAATATGGCAAGTAGCCACAGTTATCTATTATAATTTATAATTATTTCATTTCAATTCGTACTAATTCTTATGTACAGGGTTCCTACTCAAATTTTTGTTTTAATTTCCATGGCTTTCCCTGACCAACTTTGTACAGTTGGTCAGGGAAAGTCATGGAAATTAAAACAAAACCCTCACATCACTTACAGTATGGCACATTGACAAAATAAAACAGCATTTGACTTACTATGCACATATGTTTTGCTTCTCTGACATTTTAATTATTTTTTTCTAATTAACAGTTATATATTTTTTTATAATTGCAAATGTATTAAAATTAAAAATAAAATGTATTAATAAAATTTTTTATTCTGTTATTAATCCACAACCATAAATATACATGACTGAAAAAAAAAATCAATTTTTTTCTATTATTCATTAACAAATTCTATATAATCCATGTACAAAAGTATATATTTATTAAATTTATCTCTTAATAAATTTCCTGAACTTTATAAAATATTAATAAACTGGAAATAAAATCTAATAAAAAATGATAAATAATACCATTTACACTATTTATCATTTTGTGTACTTTGTAAATTTTTGGAAAAATTTTGTGTAAACTTGGGAGAAATTTTGAGTCCTGAAAATATTCTGCACCCCTTTTCATAAGTTGTATTGACCACATTACTTCTTGCTGTCTGCAGATGGCTACACTTAGTCAAGCATATTGTCAGCAAAAATCCACGAAACAGCCAAGGAAGCAAATTCCCTGACTTTTTTACAATTTTTAACAAATTTCCTGACATTCCATGACTTTTTCTGAATACTAATGAAAATCCCTGATTTTCCAGGTGTTTAGGAATCCTGTATGTATTAAATGATCTCACTAACAGAATAATAAAGATTAACAAGATGAAGAAAGACATGGACAGACGGATGGCAGTGGCAATTCATAAAGCTACAATTTTTTCAAATTGCAGCCTAATAATCCTGCAGACAAAGATATTAGATTTATAGTCAAGGTAATAAAAATATAGGCAACTAACAGAACAAGAGACAGTTTTTAGATTTTTTTGTGATTCTTCTTCTTTGTCTTCTAAACAATAACTGCTACAAGAGTTATTAAGCTGATTAATATTAATTAATTTCTTTTGCAATCCAGTATCTATCATTTGTTTTTTCTTAAGCTTTGGAATCTGATAAAAATTGTGACTATTTGTTGTTATTTGTAGAATCCTACAAATGTACATTGCATCTTTTTTGTTAATAAAGTTATTTCTAAATCATTTAGAGTTTTATTATAGATGGGACACTTTTTCATAATTTTAACTTACAAGAAATTTTCAATATCCTTACTAATATCAGCAATATCTCATTATATACAATTCTGTTCGGTTATTAAATAACATATCTGTAAGGAAAATGATTATCAATTGGTTATAAATATTTATTAACAGAAGTTTATTTAACTTTATAAGGAAATAATGTTTCGAAATATTTAAATATTTTTAGTTACAGTATTCATCAACTTCATTTATTAACTTAAAATTAGAAAATTAATGTTAATTTATTAATTAAAATTAGAGTTAAATAATAATGTTGACATTGTAAATTTTAATTCCCTCAATTCAAAGTTGAGTGAACATAAAATCTGATACAAGCAATAATCAGAGGTATTCAAAAATATGTTTGAGATTCTAGTTACAAATCAGTTGATTTATCTTTTCATTGCAATGAAAATGACATATTAGTCTAATCCACAAATTTTCTTACAAGACAATCCTAATGTCAGCAGACAATCAAAAATACAGCAGAGAGGAGAAAAGTTCCTCAAATTTTCACATAGCATAATCGCTGCCTCCTCCTGGTCATCTCATCAACTGGAACAGAGTCCATTTAATTTCATAATTCTTCCCTTGCACAGTCCTGTTGTCGCTAATCACCTTTGTATTCTTCCCGTAATTGCATCGAAAATAAAAGAGTGTCACTCTCTCAACCACAAGTCAATATATATATATATCCTCTTCTGCTGAATTGATTGCTCCTCTAGACCAATGGGTCCCAATTAGTGGTATGCGTACTCCTGGGGGTATACAAAATTGCATGAAGGGGTACATGCAGCAGTCTAAAATCGATCAATTCAAAATTTAAATGCATGAGATGAAGCAATCAAAAAAATAATGGGTGGACCATCAAAAATTCGGCAATTTACAATATGATGTCAAATGCACAAATTTGTTTATTTATAACTAAAAATATTCTCGTAATTTCATTTAAAAAAAATACATTTATGACAATACATAAATGAAATTTTTACGCAAGAAACAAGAATTGTACAATTAACACAATTTGTGTTAATTGTACAATTATCATTATTATCATGTCAGAGAAGTGGCAATAAAATATTTACTACCAGTTTGCACAACATACCTCTGTGAGAGTGGATTTTCGGCCATGACAAACATGAAAACTAAACATCGTCACCGACTTCAACTCGAAGATAACTTGAGACTGAAGCTGACCAAAAAGCAACCAGATTTTACAAAGTTGTGCAAAGAAAATTGTGTACATTTGTCGCATTAAAATTAAATAACGTTATGTTATTTTCATTATTATTAGAATTGTATTTTAAAGGTAATAAATGTAAAAACACTTATTCTAAAATATCACTTATGGTAGCTGCTATTTTGTTGTGAATGTGTCTCTTTAATCGGATCAATTCAGTTCAGTAGACTATCAATACAGCTTTCAGGTTAGATACTTCTTTTATTGTTTTGACTTATGCATTTCGGACTTATATGTATTTTAAGTCCGAAATGCATATGTCAAAACAATAAAAGAAGTATCTAACCTGAAAGCTGTATTGATAGTCTACTGAACTGAATTGATCCGATTAAAGAGACACATTCACAACAAAACTTATTCTATTTATCACTAGCTGTCTACTTACAGCTTCGCTTGCAATATTTCAAATTTTCTCGTAAGAGTAAGATATTTTCTCGCAGTAAAATGTAGCCTATGTCCATCTCGAACATGTAAGCTATCTTTGTGCCAAATTATATTAAAACCTGTTCAGCAGTTTAGACATGAAAAGGTAACAGACAGACTGGCAGAATTACCTTCAAATTTATAATATTAGTATGGATTAATATGAATTTCTGCTATAAGAGGTATGCGAGTTTCAGCTCTTTCTTGAAGTGGTATGCAGGAAAAACTAATTGGGAACCACTGCTCTAGACAATAATGGATGACAGAACATTCTAGAAGCTTATAAATGAAGGCTTCATAACTGACAATTTACTTTTATATACAAAAATGACGACGGGCAATTATCACAATATTTTCATTAATTCTTCATTAATGAAATGACCATGTCACTTAATTTCATTTTAGTGTAAATTTAATTGTAATCACAATAATCTAATTTCTATATAATTAATTTCATATATTATATAAAAATGTGTTGCTTAAATAATATACAAAAACATTTTTCTAAGACAATGAAGTCAATATTATTAATATTGACTTCAATATTAATAATATTAATGTCAATATTAATTAATCTTTTCTTTTCTAAAAATTAATAATTACATCTTTGAATTAAATTTATATTTGAAATATTATTTGAAAAAGATGATATAATATAACAGACATTAATAGCAACAATTTTTGAAATTGTTTTTATATATTTATTTAAAATCAATTACATTATGTAATTAAAACCTAATATTTATTCAATGTGTAACTGCTAATAGTTTAAAACAGATTGTCAGATATATACTTACACAAGTAATAAAAACTAAAATAAAAAAAATAAGGTACACACCTTGTATTTTAATTTTTTTTAATTTTTATTTTAATTAGTGTTTAATTATCTCAGTCAGGCTGAGATGATTAAATAGTGATGTAAGCTTTCAAGATATATTTTAAAAAAAACAGTCTATGAGACCAAAGGTATAAGTAAGAATGGTATACGCAAACTGAAGAAAAGCATTTGCAGAAGCATTGAAGCAGTGAAAGAAAAGACCTTGCTCAGGGTCCGAGTGGCATAACAGGCAATCACACTACATGGCAAGCAGAGATTGTGGGTTCAAGCCCCACCCCAGGTCAGTTATTTTATTCCAGAAGGTTCTAAATAATTTAATAATTTATTAAAATTATAATTATTAATTTAGTTAAGAGATGTACCTAACATCTACCTCTAGTGACAAATTACTTTACATTAATCAATTAATTAGCCAAATTCTAGCCCAATCTTTCAGGCGATCATTGGTTATTTCATTATATACTCATCAGGCTTTAAGAAGTTTATCATTTATACATTTGAGGCTATCAACATCAGTATTTTATTTAATGTCAGTTTGAACACGATTATTTGTACACAAAGGTGTGCAGATGCATAAGGACACCATTTTCAACATCTTTTTTAAATTTCTGTATGCTTAAATAATATTAAAATAAAGTTTCTAACAAATGTATTTTGCCTAAATTCATTTGTATCCTTTCCACTGAGTAAAGCCAATTTTATATGAGGCACCTTGTATAATATTTAAAGCAATAATTATTTTGAGATAAACTTTATGATATTTATAAGTAATAATTAATTACCTTTTAAAGTAGAAACAACACTGTTTTGCCAAACAATATGATGAATCATTTCATATTCAACAAGTACAGCACCAAGTTCATTATATGCTCTGGTAATTTTTCTAACCTCCTTAGAATTTAACATATTTAAATGTTCCTTCAACAATAAAAAATAAAACAAACAAAAAAAATTACTACTTATAATTTATTAAATATTGAATGTTTAAAATATTGTTTATTTAAAATCATTTAATAACAGTGTAAACAAATAATTTATAGCAAATACCAACAGATGTAATTTTATAGTCAAGATGGGGCTCCAAATTGCTACGTTCTTGTATACAAATATAATTAAAATATATAATATATAATCAATATAATCAAATATGTACCAAAATAAAGAGAGAAACTCAAAGTTTTTATCAATATGTTTGAGGTTAAATATGAGCTCTGTTGGTTGTTCTATAGCATCTAGATGGTACTCCATTTTTTTCTCAAATGCTAATAATATACACAGATGTAAAAGATAACTTACATAATCTATTGTTTCAAACATCATTAATATAAACGCTGTAAACAGTTTGCTTAATATAATCCTACAGGAGAGCATGGTGGCCATCTCTTCCAATCCATCATTTGAAAATGTTCATCAAGGAACTTCATAATAATGTTAGAAAAGTGCAGAGGAACATCATCTTGCTAGAAGTTGGCATTTCTGTCCATAATAATTTGTGGCATTGCATATAGTTCCAACATATTAATATAGTTGTGTAATGTCACAGTGAGCTCCATAAAGAAAAAATGGATCAATTGACCTATTTCAGCTCCACCCATTTTTACTAAGCATCATGGAAACATGGTGCACATTGTTTACAGAGTATTATATATATATCCTTCCCAAGAGAGAGATTAATATAACAACTAAACAAATAATAAAGTATCACTGTGTTTGGGTGCCACAACATTAGTCCAAGTAGGAAACTGTAGAGTAGGTAAGTTCTGTTTTGTAGAGGCATTCTTGAACCAGATATTTGCTATTCAACTTCTTTTTAAAACTAGCATAGATTTGTGAATAATAGAATAAGCTTTTGCCAATTTTTTATAACAATTCTTACAAGAGGAAAGGTACGTTGAGTCTAGTTCTCCTTGATAAAAACTATGTATACTTTTTTTAAAAAACCACACAACAATAGAAATCTTAAAATGCAGTAATATTTCTAATCAAATGTTTTTGGTTAGAAATATTTCTAATTCAAATGTTTTTGGTTGTTTTTTATCAATCTTCTTCAGAATAAAATAGCAATTAAATGATGATTTTTGTTCAAAACAAATGTATTTCCAATGAATATAATTTAAATGTTACAATTCTAGAACAAAAAATTAAAAGTTTTTTAACATATTCAGAAATAATTCAGAACAGAACATCATATTTAAACAGCAAGTTGAAAAAGTGTAGTAAATAGCCACACCATGATAGAAATCTTAAAATGCAGTGATATTTTTAATTTTCAAATGTTTTTGATTGTTTTTTATTAGCATTCTTCAGGATAAAATATTGTTCAAATTTGGTTTTTGTTCCAAATGAACAGAACATAAAACATATTTTTAGTAAATATAATTTAAACGTTATGATTCTACAACAAAAAATTCAAAACAAGAAAATGCAAAACTTTTAAATAATAATAAACTAATGAAAAAATATGCATTAAATGAGTATGAACAACTAAAAATATCTAAAAATGCATAAGTAAACTAATTCTACATTTTTTATCTTTTTAGTTCATTTATGCATTTTTAGATATTTTTAGCTGTCCATACTCATTTATGCACTTTTTATATTTTTTTCATTAGCATATTTAAAAGCCTAGCATTCTCTTGTTTAGAATTTTTTGTTCTGGAATCATAACATTTAAATTATATTTATCAAAAATATGTTTATGTTCTGTTCATTTGGAACAAAAACCACCATTCAAACAATATCTTATCCTGAAGAACACCAATAAAAAACAATCAAGAACATTTGAAAATTAAGAATATGTCTAATGTCTAAAAATTCAACCTTTAGACATGTCATATAACTAATGAATATAAAAATTTCCATTAATATAATGATTATGAAAAATGTTAATATGTCTTTTCAGATTCAATAGAAAAAGTATAGCTGTCACTGAGGAGGACCTACTCTCTATACAATTTCCATTCTGTAAGAATCATGATCCTCTGTTACTCAATGAGTAAAGGATCATGATTCCATTATTCATAAATCTATGCTTTTGCTATAAAAAGAAATTAAACAGCAATATACATCTGGCTCAAGAATGCCTCTACAAAAAAATCCAGCAATGAATTGTGTAACTTTCCTGACAAAAAAGTTAAAACTGTGTGTGGAACCATCTTTTGTGAGATTTCCTTACGAAAAACTTTATTTATTATTATTCATTATTATAAAATGGTAAAAAACTTAATTTTGAGGGAAGAGATGAGTTTTATAAAAAAAAAAAAAAAAAAAACTAAATGCTAATAACAAATAAAACTTCATTAATTAAGTTCAATCCCACTCAAGATATGACATATGAACCCCATCTATCTCTCCACCTTCTTGACTTTTTTAACCATCAAAATTTAATAGCATCAATACCCCTAATACACAAACCTGTCTGCAAAATTTCAAAAATTTTCAACAAAAGGCACTAAAATTATTAACCTTCAAAGTAGGTGAAAAAATCATGATTCCTCACACAGACACACAAACAAACAAACAAACAAACATCCATATATACAGAAAAAACTCCAAACTTCTTTGCAGTTCTTTGCATTTCAAGGTCCAAAGTCCAAAAATATAAAAATTTCTGTGGCTCACTTTTTGACTGACAGTTATACTTTTCCTCTGTTAGTATATAAGGCAAGAAAAGTAAAAATAACTATACTTGAGTTGACCATCCATCTATTCTAATATGTGTCCAACACCTACAGCCGATTGCAGAGACAACGTTTAGAGACTGATGGCATTTTTACAGATCAGGTAGACCACTGTTCAGAAAAATTTCATTGCAAAGACGACGTTTCTCACCTGACACAATGTAGACAGTGATTAGAAACAAGTTATTTGACCTATTTTCTACTCGTACAACAGCAGGTTTGAGGGATTTTCAATTCGAGAGGTAGCTTTGTTCGTGAAGTTTAGATAAAAACAGATATCATTCCTTTGATAAAAGTTGTAAATGATACAAATTGACGAAATTATTCATTAATTAATTGCTCGGAGCAAAAACAATAAAATTAAATACTTTAAATTTGTTTTAAATGTTCCAATTTCGATATTCAAATGGGTGAAAATTTAAAACTTCAATTAATTTAAATCAGATGCATTTATTTACAGTTCGAGTTATAAAACATTAATGCATTTCGGAGTCAATGTACTGTTAAACAAACGAGACAATTTTAATAATTACAGAAATCTATTTATAGATATTAAAAAAAAATGTAATATTAATAATAAAATATTTAAAATTATTCATTTCGACAGTAATAAGATGTCAAAATAATTCCTTAAAAATCTATTCTGAATTTGGTATAAATTTTCTAAATATGGATTTGTTCATATTTTAAACCATATTGGCGATGAAATTAAATATCGAAATGGAAAAGCATTATCATTAATTGCCGAACAATGGTTTTGATGGCCTTAAGATTTTATTTCTGCGAGCTTTCGGAATATAGCTGGTGACCATTTCTGATGTCACAAACAATTAACCCCTTAAGGACATTGAGATTTTTGATATTTTATAATCATTAATTTAATTAAATGTAAAAAATACTTAAAACTGAAAAAAAAATGAAAGAAATGCGTTTATTTTGAAGAAAAAGCTTCAAATTTTATATTCCTTTGTCTCGTCTTTCTGTGAAATATAACACCGATGAGTCATTGTTTACACAGCTGATGACCTTGAACATAGCTGGAGTCCGATTTCCCTGGGCATTCTATAGAAATCTTGGGAGGCGATGGGTTTATCATAGAGTGACTACAATTTGGCCGTATATTTTTAAATATTTTTAAAAAATTAAAATTTTTATTGCGATTTCCGACCCCCCGGCTTAATTAAACTTATATATGTTACCGCTAAAGCTCGAAATCCGTTAATGTGTACATTACCTAGCTAATCTGCAGATTAACTAGGGTGATCCATTAAAGCTGCGAAAATTGTTCAATTTCTCAAATTACCTAGGTAATTTGCAGAGTATCTAGGTAATCTGCACATTAACGGCTTACGTATCATTAAAGTTCAAAAGTTTGTTTCTTTCACTTCCTTTCCCCACTCCTTCTTTTTACGTAGATAAATTTAAATCCTAGAATGCAAGCAAGCACCGAATTGGTGAGTAAAATCAAGAAAAGATTCTTCGCAAACCTCTTTAGCGAAGATTTAAAATATAATACGTAGTGTTTTAATAACAAACCAAAGTATGATTCCATAATTGAAGATGTAAAGCAAATAAAAGTTTCCAAGAAGAAAGAATCATCTCGAGATTATCAAATAATTCAAAGGTGTGATGTGTTGACTGTACGAGGCTGTGAAAAACTCATTGAGCCGTTGTCAGATGCGCGAGAAAGGTTTGAAAAAGTTTGTCCATGCCGGAGAATTGTTTGACATTCGATAAAAACTGAAGAAGACCTTGAAAAATTAGAAGATTCACAAGAGACTGTGATTATGAGATCACAGTCAAATCTTACTCAAGAGGACATTCCGTTATCCCCCGCTTCTACAGAATCACCTATAGAAATACAAGAATTTACCGATAGTAATCTTAAACTGCCTTCTATACCGTTGATTGATGATGCAGTCACGAAGAATATTCAGTTACCCTGCACCTCCAAGGAATCGCCTCTGCAAGTTGAAGAAGTCATCACTGAGTTACTCTCAACTTCAGCAGAATCGCCATCACAGTTTCGTACGGAGCCTGTAAAGAGCACTATACAAGACATAGTCTGTATTGTTTGCTCAAAAGCAGCATCAAGTGCTCACAAGTGTAAATCGTGTAATATGTTTGTTCACGCAGTTTGTGGTGAAGTAGATCCTAAAGAGGAAGGGTATGGTAAGAATGTATTGTGCATCATCTGTAAAAAGAATATGGATCAGAAAATACAGCGTGATGAAGCCAAGAA